GAGATTTATAGATATTTAATATAAACTTCACTTGTTTATGATCCCTCTATCCCGAATAGAGATCTACAACCAAAATTTTAAAAACCTTTAAAAAAAATCTTAAAATGCTCTCTATGCTTGCTATCACAATTTAATGTCTAAGTAAGCCTTTGAAGAAAGGCTGTAAGATTTAATTGTCTTCAATTAAGTGTCAGTGCTGGCAGTGTACTCTCTCTTGAGAACTCTGACAAGTCTTAAAGGCTGAAATTTTTAGAAACCAGCCCTCCAAAATCCGTAGCCTTCTAAACATTTTCTAGGTAAGGAAGGGAGGCAAAATAGAGCACAAGAACAATTTTAAAATTTGTATAGACTATTCTTAAAATTTTTGATACGTCACAGAAAATTGTAAAAAAAACCCCTAATGTTATATATTTAATTCCTGTGTAATAAGTGAAGATACATTTTCATAAGAAAGCAGTATTTTGAAAGTAATCCATATTACAGCACCAAATATATTAAGGAAATAAAATAAGGGTATATCGAGGTCACACATTTAGCTTGCTTCCATTTTAGTGCTACAAATCTGTGTAGCATACAGTGATGAAACATCTTGATGGCAAGAGTTTCAGCAAGAAGTGTTGATACAAATCCAGCAATGTATTAACCACCAGCTGTGAGGCAAAAGCACACCTGGCCGTGCATGAAGCCTCTCTCCCACAAGTTGCCACCCTGAATGCAGGCATATTTGGATGACTTGTGAACTGCCTCCCACACTCCCTCCATTCACCACTCAGCTATTTCATGTGGGTAGCTAGGAAATGATTTTGATGTGTATAAAACATGCCTGGCTGTTTAGCAGTTGATTTATCATGCGTTCAGCTTTCCTGACAGAGGGCTGGCAATCTTTGGAAAACCAAGGGAAGACAGGCTTGTAATTGACAGCTCTTTCAGCCTCAGCAGTTTAATTCACTGCTGAATATGCCTCAACACCCCAAGTTCGGCTGAAGCTCAGCGTTCATCAGAGGAGCAGGTTGAGCCAAGAAAGAGGAAAGATTGAGCAAAGTAGGAGATTTAAGGAAGGAAAGATGACATGGGGCTACTCATGCTAGGCCTTCATTAATGGGAGACAGAAGCCATTCTGAACAAGCAAAAATTGATGACTTGGTAGCCTATGTTTCCACGGGACAGATTAAAAGAATGCACCAAATTGTGCTTTGTAAGAACCAAAAACTCCAGTTCTGCCTTTCCACTTGTCTCTCCATTATGATTAGCTCAATTTGAGATATGAAAACTGTGTCTCTGCTCTCTTGCCTAGGAATGTATTTACTGAAAAAAAAGCGACAGAAGCGCAGCTAAGGTAACCTTCTCCCCTCTACCTCTTCCCTGTCCCAGCTAGAGACTGTGGTTAGTCCTGTTCTTGACTATTCCTACCTGCAGCAGATAGGTGTCAGGTCAGACCTACTGCTAACCCTTCTCCCTATGTCTTCTCCTTCTCACTAGGGGCAGCAAAGGGTATGAAAAAGGAGAATGAAGCTGATGAGTGTGGAGGAGGTGATGTGCTGGAGGCTTGCAAGGAGATGGTGGGTGACCAGAATGAAGGTCATATGGGAGAAAATGTTGGCATCATACTGGAAAGCATGAGCCTTTGGAAAATCTGTTGGCAGTTATTCAACCTCTGTGTCACCCTTACGGAGTCATAATCAGGGCAATACCCATCCTCAGAGAGCAGAATTAATCACATGGATGGGATGTTGTATTTTCACCTCATCATTTTCAGGGGTGTATATTGAGCCCTGTTAAAGGTAAGAGATATTACCTGTATCCTGCGTTAATGAGTTTAGAGTGTTCGTTAAAAAATAGATTAACAGCAAGCATTAGGCCAAATTGTTTTGTATATATATCCTACCTAGGTATTCAGCTTTACTACCATTATTTACCAAATCATACAAACTATTCACAGAACTGGCATTCCATCATCAGGACTGTCAGAGTCATCAACTACACAGTTACCAAAGACTCCAGCACTGTCGCTGATGCCAAATCAAAGAGGAATTTGGCCAAAGCTGAAACTGATATATAATCATCCAAAAGGGAGCTGTGGTTGTGTTTCCTGTGAAAATGTATGCTACTTGTGCTGAAAGCTATTACTTTTTTTTCCTAGTGCAGTTTTCTGCTGGATTAACAAGTTAAATTGGCTCACTGTTCAATATCTAGAAAGCTAGAGCAAGGGAGTAGGTGAAGTGTGTGGTCAGGCAGGGAAAGGGAGTAGAAGGTTAGGGAGAGTGGGACGTCTCCTTTTCTCTTTTTCTGCAGTAAGCCATTAGTTCACCTAAGATTACTATTCAACTGCACCCGAGAGATGTTATAATCGTGATTCCCTGGTAGCGTTTGTCACTGCGCATGTTCAAGCCTTCTCTCTGCTGTCCTGTAGTCAAATCAGGGCTGTATCCAACTGATTGTGATCCCTGGACTGCTGGAGATCCTGAAGGGTACCACAAGGAGAGGATGTTTGATCCATACATATGCTGAAGCTGTTTGAGGAAAAGGCCAAATCACAGGACTAGAAAGAAAATCCTGCTGTCCTGTAGTCAAATCAGGGCTGTATCCAACTGATTGTGATCCCTGGACTGCTGGAGATCCTGAAGGGTACCACAAGGAGAGGATGTTTGATCCATACATATGCTGAAGCTGTTTGAGGAAAAGGCCAAATCACAGGACTAGAAAGAAAATAGGAACATCATTCTCAAAACTCATAGTTAAAGCAGATCCTCAGACCAGAGAAGAAACATGGGATATCTGTTTAGTCCAGCTCCAACAACTATGTGTATTATACCCAGTGACCACTGCGTATAAAACCTATACACTACCTATACATTGGCGATCTCATAAACGTGTACAAGTATCTGAAGGGGGAGTGTCAAGAGGATGAGGCCAGCCTCTTCTCCGTGGTGCCCAGCAACAGGACAAGAGGCAA